ACAGACTCACGCATACAAAATCTTTTTTCTTCTGAGAAAAGAAAAAATCTAATTGTTGTGTAACATGAAGTGTAAAAATCGTATGCTCTCATCATGTTTTTATTTTCTAAACAAACTGCCAAATTACACAGGCCAAAAGGAAAAAATAATGACATAAATATGGTTTCTTGGGCTTCATTCACCTTCGACATATATGCCTTATCTCAATGATCATGATGAAGGGTCAAGAAATGAGCGGATACTATGTTAAGTTCTAAATACAAGACATCATTTGTAGATTACAAATGAGATTTTATATTTAGGACCGGAGGTAGTAGTATGAAACTGGACAGCATGATATTCCTCTTCAATTGATCATGTTGGCATAGACACAGAAATTTCTGGCACTTAAGATAACCATACTGAGGTTCTTATGTTATCAAAGATTAGCCTCCATGAGATCAGCAGGTTTTATATAGCCACGTTTACAGGTATCTAGCCGGTCAAAATTCTCACCGACCAGCATGATGTCTTTATCTGCTGGTTTTCCCATCTCCTTGAGCTTGTATATAACAAATTCTGGTTTACTGCAGGTCCAAATCAAAATAATGAGACAGATCACAGGATGAGTCATCACATTGAATCAAAACAAACAAGCATTGTTCAAAGTATGAACCACTGAAGATGTCCAATGGTGATATTACAGATATGGGATTTAAGGAAAGATTCGAAATACCGAATATATGATTCCGAACAAATGAGACCTTCATCAGAAACAGATAGAACATATGATCGGAATAAAGGTAACCACGGAGATAGCTTGTCTTTATCGGAATGAGCTACCTATTATACCATTGGGTGGTAGCAAGTTTCATAAGAAATAACAGAAAATGGATCAAGAAGGAGATCGTTGATCTTTTAGATTAAACCAAGGCTGATTACATGTTTGCAGAAACATGCATTACAATGATTGTTATAAAGTAATGTTATTTGTATGCTTGCGAATGAAAAAGACGCAAGCTTTAGGATTTCTGTTCAAGGACGCGCAGGCGATCTTAAAGATCAAATAAAGGGGCTAGCCAATAAATTCAAGTAAAGTTTATCAGTCTGTTGAAACCAGACTATCTATTATGAAAAGCCGATGATGACGATGTGAAGTTCTTTGTGAATGTTCCATATAATCAAAGATGAGAAAGATGCAAGTTGTCTTGATGATTGAGCACAAAGTCTTGCCAAGCCGACTAAAGTACATCAAGGTTTATACATAATGCCCATTAGCTGACATTTGCTTTTGTGATATAAAAACCCATTACAAACATTGATTATTTAGTCTGACATGTGTAGATGATATGTAGTGCTAAAATGAGAACAGGGCATGAAGAAATTGACCCTGCATTCTGCCGTCAAAAATATCACTCCCACCACTCTCTAGTATCTTAGCTTTTCTCTCAACTGTGCATCAAAAGCCATTTTGTTCATTTTTGTTTCTTATAAAGATTAAAAATCCTAATTCCTCCTAGGCATGATCGGAACAAAAGCAATATAACTGGAAGCTCTGCAAAAAAGTCCTTGAGTTCCAAAAGAGATGCATTGTAAAAGCATCGACCTCAGGAGGTGTACTATATTTAAAGTTCAAGCAAATCAATCCATTTCATTGCCGTATGAGCAATAGAAATTGTACTATGTCTGAGCAAAAGAAATTGTACTATGTCCACTTTCGCATCCATTTATATGAATGCTTTAGTATAATTGCTCCTAAACTGTTAACTAAAGAAAGCATCATATGGCAACATGGACCAAATGCAACATACAGGAACTGAGGCCAAAAGAAAAGAAAATCCCAAAAAGGTAAAAAGCATGTAAACGAAAACACCTCTCTCTGTTTTTTTGTATATAGATGTTCTTTTTCTGTTATGCCATGCATCCCTTTAAAAAACTTCTGTTTTTTTTTGGTGAATAGAAGGCTAAAAGATCATGCAAAAGAGGGAAAAAAAACTAAAAGTTCTATAATCCTTGTTTATCAAAATCTAATAACGTCCTTCAATCTAAGGGGTGTCAATTGAAAAAAAAAAAATCGCATCAAGGTCATGAGTAGAACCGACAAGTCAATACTTGTTCTTGATGAAATTCTTCCAAGTCTAATGAATACACTTGCACACAAAAAGGCCTATCGTGATCAGCTTGTTGAGCTTCCTTCTTGTTAAGCAACGCTGGGAGATAAAATCCCACTATCTTGCAATCATTAGCAACGCTACTGAATCCAAACCCTACCGCGAAAACGCGATGATAATCATATATTGTTTGGGGTACCTCTCTTATCGTCACCGGGTATTATACAGACCCCATTTTTTAACTGTGATTTACGAAATATGAGATAAATATATAAAAAAAGTTTTGTCATAGCTTATGTAAAATGAACTTATATAAACATATTTGGTTTCACAATTTCATTTCTTGTTCTTCTCTTCTGCTCAAAACGACACCTGAAAATCTTCAGTTTTGGAGGATACAAATTAAATTAGGTGCGACAACCAAGGTTCTCATTCAATTTTCATCACAACATAAATATCACGGACTCATTACTATGATGCAATTCAAACTATCCAAAATCTAACATAGATAGTTTAAATTTAAAATTTTTAATTTAATTTTTTCAATGATAATTTTTTTAAAAATATTAGTTTTAAGATTATACTATCTTTATTTAAAGTCGTTGTCTATTCAAATAAAAATTTATTTAAAATACGTTACAGTTTTAAATTAAATCTAGACATCCAAAATCAATTTGGATGACTTAGACTAAGATGAATACCCCATGCTCATCTTTTTTTTTTTTAATCAGCGTTGAATGTGCTTTAGACAAACAAAAACATTGGAATGAAAAAACATACCTTAATAAGAAATCCTGTGTAACCAAGATTGTCATGTTCTTTCACAAGTCTCCAGAATGGAAAATACAACACATTTTTTTATGGCTTCCCAAGTGTCTACATAATTGGTTAATTATTCACGAAGAAACGATGAAACTAAGAAAATAGGATCAAAATATGAATTTAGTCCGAGAATTACATAAAACCCCTGTTAGAGGCAACATAACAAATGCGAATCCACCACCGCCAATAGGGAGATCCCATATATCCCATTCGCTAGATTCAATTATACTTGATACTCCTCCGGTCCTTAATATAAGACCCATTTAACTAATTTGATTAAATTAAGAAAGTTAGGTAAGTTAGTTAATTATAAAAGTGACACATTTTTCCTAAAACACCATAATCATCTTTCTTAATACCTCCTCTTCCTCTTCTACTTGACTATAGTTGAGAGGGTATCCATAGGGGTAATTTAGAGAAAATTGATAAATATGAAAAATGAGTCTTATATTTAGGATCAAAACCAACTCAAGAATTGGGTTCTATATTAAGGACCGGAGGAGTATATATTGAAGCCTCAAGATAGTAGAACTCACATGAAAGAATCAAATGGGACCTTTCCTTGTTTTTTTTTTCTTTTATTGCCTAAAGTTATAGAGCGGACTTAGCACAAAACAAATGGGATCTAATTACTTGCAAGGAGAAGGGAAGAATTGGTACACCTGGGCCAGGATTTTGCCGATTAGTAAGCACTGTGTAAGTACGTATAAGGAAGGAGACGAATACAGTGAATATTAGTGAGGAGGCTATAGGAAATAGACCAGAGAAGATGCGAAATATACATGAAGCTGCTAATAGTTGTGCATGTATACTAACTCCAATCCTTATAATTGACTAATTTAAGTAAATTAAGAAAATTAGTTAAGTTAGTTATTTGTAATAAATATGTGTTGTCTTTTCTAAAATATTCTTACTAATCAAAAGTATAGTACAGACTAGTCTTCTAAAAGTCCCCATTTTCCTCCCATCTTTCATTTCCATCTAGAGATCAGTTAATTCCTCATATATATAGGAGCACCTAAACCCATATATTCATTCTTGATGAAATAGAAAGGCGCAAAGATAAAGTTTGCAACAACTAGTGCTGATCTAAATTTCTCCATTCCAGATGATAGATACAACCAAACCAAACATGTTAAAAGGTTTTATAGTTCAAAATTGATGATTTTCCAAAGCAAGATTAATCTTTAGCATCAAAATTTGAACGGATGAACAATTCAAGACTATAGTGGGAGCACAATGAAGAGCAATTGAACCATGCACTAGGGCCAATATCCTTCGTCATTCGGTTTTAAAGGAGAAGCGATGTCATGATTCGCCGTAATCTCACAAGAAATCTTCAAAATTGGTAAATACAGGCTTACAATTTCAGTAAAATAGAGGAACCAGAAAAAATCACGAGCTCAGATCAGTTTCTGGTTTTAAGATCAAGTATTTTGACTCGTGACATATATGCGCGCGCGCACACATATAGTTATTTAGATGTAACCAGAGGGATAAATCCTGGTCATATAGCTTCCCAAGGTTAGGAACCTTCGGACAAGGTTTAATGTTGCAAGTCTGAACAAATGTTATAACATATTGTCCCATCTTCATCAAAGTATAGCATTTTGCCATTGCAATATGCTCCAGTAATTTTTTTTCTAAGAAAACTGTGCAATGATAAAATAATAAAACAAAAAACTTAGTAAGTAAAACTCAAATGTTCAAAGGTTTTGTGGCAGCGTTTTCACCAAAATTGCTAAGTCAAAGTAAATCCAGAATGTGAAAACAAGAATTTCATATATAGCAAGGCTATTCAACATAATGAGGCTCTCTAAATATTATAATTAAAAGGAATAAGTTTACATAATGGCAGACAAAATGAGAACTTAAGATACCGAGAAAAGAACAAAGAGAAGAGCGAGTAAGAAAGACCTAAAAGATCTACTCTAGAATGCCCCTTGAGCAATGAAGCAATATAATATATATCCTCCAGAAACTTTAGCCTTTGTGCTCCAACACATAATGGAAAAAAACAAAGATGGATCAAAATTGTTTGATTTCTTATCCAACAGAACTTCAGAATAGGCTTTCCATGTGGGCAGACTACTCCCTGGCAGATAGTTCTTCTATTGTTGCCAGAGTTGAGCAGAAAGAATCCCCATCCATAGACATGAGGCTCTCCACATAATCGAGTTTTTGACGCACATTATAGATAGAGGGATAGATGTTGAAGCGCTTCAATTCATGATTAGCAGTGAGAATGAGCAAATGAACCTCGTGTATGTATCGAAAGACTATTTCATTCCTCCAAAAGTATAACGGACTTAAGCCCCATGAAGTTGGTCCAATACTATATTTCTTAGTCCACCCCCAACTCTTTCCAGATGCACCACTTCCCTCTTCCAACACCCATAAATCCATGAAACTAGGTTTAAGCCTACCTCCGTATTGATAAAGCACAGCAACTTTGTTCTCGTACACATCCAACACAATTTGAGAGGAAGGATTAGTACGAAGAGGGATTAAAAAAGGGGTTGGTATCAATGAAAAAACTTCCATTGTTAGATCAAATGAAACTATCTTGACGGAAGCTTCACCCCATCCCAACCAAAATATAGCCCCATTAAAAGTGAGAGGTTCACAAGGAAATGCTCGAAGCCGCCGTAGAGCCCCAGATTCCACTTCTTTCCAGGACCCCGTTCTTAGCGAAAACACTTCCCCGTGAATACCGCCGTCCTCGTCAAATTTGATTGAAGGACAGTTAGTCGCATAAATTCTCACTATCTTATAATCCCTAACCACAGGACAAAGCCCAAATCCCCATCCCAGAGCCTTATCTTTCGCTGACCTGGGTACTTGCCTTACCTCTCTAGTCGCTGGGTTCAACAACAAAAGCGAAGGAGGAGGGGAATGATTATAAACACCATTCAGTAGTACCACACAAAGCAAGCCGTTGCTGGAACCAATGATGCGGTCAAGATTCCTTAAGGAATCCATGGCGGGTATTCTCTCAACTTCCACAGTTTCCGTCTTATATGGAACCAAACACAAGCGCGAATATCTAGGGTTGGGACTGAAATCAGTGCAGATAACAAGAGGGTTGCTGTGAGCAGACTGGTGGTAGTGCTCTGCGATGAAATCTGGGGATTCCAAGAGATTTTTCCAATCTTTACACACAGCAAGAAATCGAACAAGGGATTTAACAGGAAGCCTTTTGAGAATGTTTCGGATGATGTCCAGGGGCAGAAAAGGATTGTCGCCTCCAATCTTTTCCACGGATTTAACTGGAAGAAGCCTTTTGAGAATGTTGTGGATGATCTCCAGAGGCAGACAAAGATTGTCGCCTGCAATCGCCATATGAAGGAGACGATCACTGGCTTAAGAGCTAAGGAAAGGGATTCAGAGGTGCGTATATTATCTATTCATTCATGTGTTACTTCGTTGAATCTCCGATTTAACTTTATTTTATATTATGTATTTATTAAAATAAAAATTTCTTTAAAATGTTAAAAATATAAATTGCATGTGATTTGCCTAAAATCAATTTGAATAATCATATTAAGATATGGAGCGATCATCAAGAAAGTTGGAAGCAGATCCTCTCTTCCTTTTGTTTTATTTTGTTCTTCTTAAATTTCATTTCTACCTTTAAATTAAATGGAGAATTCAGATTTTATATTTTGTAAAATTATTATTATAATATTTTATAAATAAAAAAATTTCTATTTCTTCTATATTGCAGTTATGAACTATGCATGTTATGTTTTAACGGTTTAAATTTATTTATTTATTTTTATAACAACAGTTTTATGTTACAATCTATCTATCTATTTTACATATAAAATCTCGTAATTGAAATTGAAAATGGGTTAATACCCGACTGAATTGGACATGGGTTTGTTTAAATTGCCTCGTGTACTATTACAATTTCTCCTCATTAATTGGCATTTGATGAGCAATAATATGAGAAGATAGACAATCACGTTACTTTTTCGTTTTCCTCTTTTGTTTTCTGCTTATTGAATGGAAATATGGCTTGTTTTTTTTGTGTGTGGAAGGGGGGTTTAATATGCTTTGCTGGGTTAGGCACGTCGGTGTAGTATGTAGTGATTCTGCAGCTTTTTTTAACTCTGTATACATGTTTTCATACAATTTATTATGATTATATCTATTTGCCTAAACAATCTATTATAATTGTAATTTTAATCAAATGTATCAACCTATGCATTGCACGGGAAATAAATTTCTAGTTTATATTTTAGAAGTGAATAATACAATTTCAAGTTAATTTAAATAAATTTTAATAGCAAATCATCTAATCCTACCCGTATGAAACCTTAAGCAATAAGGAATTATGTTATTTACGTCTTTACAATATCAAATATACGAATATTTGAAATTTTTTGGTAGTGGACAATCAAAGTGATGATAAAAAAAGTTATATACTATAGTAAAACATGTTTTACTATAGTTTTTCATCATATTTTACTGTAATAGCACCACAAAATATTGCTTGCTCGTTTTGACTCATAGATTTTTGCAGAAAAAAGTTTTAAATTATAGATCAAATTTCACTTAAATACAAAACATAATAATGTTATCTTATCTTAAAATTATATTTTATAAGATAATGATATAATTTTAAGAAAAGTTAATTTAAATAGATGTTAATAGCAAATCATCTAATCCTAGTACCCTACCTCTGAAAATACTTCCCTCCTCCCCAATGTTATAAGAAATAATGTTATTTATGTTTCTAAAACGGGTCAATGTGTAAATTTATTCCAAAAATTTCTACTCATGAGTGTTAGATATCCAGAAAATTTTTTGAGAGTAAATTTACTCTGAAAGTTTAAAATAGTGACAGTATTATCTTATATCATTAAAAATGTTAATAGTTAATATTACTATTTGAATAGTTAATACTCCTCTGGTCCTAAATATAAGACCATTATATTAATGTATATAAGAGTCTTATATTTAGGACCAGAAAAGTATTAGTTTTGTGATAATATAGGACAATATTACTTTGATTTTAAACTTTCAAAGCAAATTTGCTCTCAAAAAAGATTTCTGAACACCTAGAGTTTCTCAGTGAAATCTTTCAAAACAAATTTATGCCTTGACACTTATAAAAATATCAAATAGATGTATATTTGAAATTTTAATTGTTGAAAAATCAAAATAATCATGAAAAACTTGAGTACTATATTAAACTATGTTCTACTATAATTATTTTTGGAATCACATTTTACTGTATAATAACATCATGAAGCTAGCAAAAAAAAAAAATAATAACACCATGAAATATTGCTAGCCAGTTTTTCTGAGTAAAGGTACAACTAATATCCTAAAGTATTTTTTTTATATGCATTTAATATCCTAGAATATTTTATGCTATATTTTGTATTTTGAAATATATTTTTTTCAAATGCATCTAATATCCTAAATTATACTTCGACGAGAATGAATGAATAAAAGTAAATTAATTATGATGGAATCATAACTTATATTATTCACAATAACAATTTCAATCAAGCTGTTAATATTTCTCTTAAAATATAAGGCCATGGCCTCCGAATATTGCCCTACGTAGGCTATTACCATTTCATGTTTTCACATTTAGAGACAGTAGAGACAATAAAACCAAAGTTTGAAACATCTGATGCTGAATTTCTACATATTATAGACAACTGATATAAAGGGCATCAAGATTATAGGGGCAACTAAAATGTGAGAGCTATTTTACAAATTCATTTCCACGACAAAGATAAAGGGCATCAATATCAACAGACCTAAAGACTCTGAGTACTTGAAAATAAAATGAGAAATCACATCCATATAAACAAGTTGCAATATTAAGATTTAATAAATATAGGAACACCTTCATGTTACATACCAAGCCTATGGTGATGTGATTCACCAGCTTAAGCATAGAACACAAAGCAACAACTTAAACAGTTAGTTGCGCAGTTAAAGTGTAATGCTGAGATCCAGCAGCAGCAACACAAAGCAACAATTCAAATAGTTCACTCTCTTCTGCTGTGTATTAGAACCTATCACTCCATTTGATTTAGATTAAAAAATAACAGAGCAAGAAGCTTTAACCTGTCATGCAAGCCTTTCATTCCTCTAGACATGTTAAGCAGCCAATAAAGCCCAAAAATTGTTATAGAGCAGCAACTGAACTATATATTTATGCGAGAAAATTGATCATATGATAATATAGCAAGCTAAAATGGAGTTTGGAACTACTAGTACTGAATTTCTACATTCCAGATCACAAATCTAACGCAGAATAAAGTATTATAGGTACAACCAAGATGGTAAGAGGTTATGTGGATTACTTTCCACTAAAATTACCGAGACAAAAGAAATGTGGAATACAGAAATGATCCTACTTGAGAAAGGCTTATCAGTCAACCTAGATGTTGCAAAACAGACAGAAGGCTTTTCTCATAATTAAAAATATCACACTGGTCATAGGCAGCAGAACAGTTGTGGAACTTCTTCCATTCCTTAGTAGTGACATTGAACAGATATAGTAAGTTTCCTGAGTCAGCCCCCACCTCAGCCTCACTTTCTTCACTTTTTTCTTTACAGCAGACTATTCCATTCCTCCAAATACACAAGGGCCGTAAAACATTTGAAAGTGGTCCAATCCTACATTTCTCAGTACAACTATAACTCTTCCCAGATTTACTAGCACCCTCCTCGACCACCCACATATCAATGGAATAAGTTTTAGAGTCTTCGGCCTCAACGTAGTAACCATCACACATAGCAAGTTTGTTTCCGTACACATCAAGCCTAAATGGACAAAGACCATACTCAGCTTCAGAATAAAAAGTATCTATTGGTGTTAGTGTAAACACTTCCGTTGCTATGTCGAACGAAACTAACATATTTTTAAAAAGCCCCAGTCCATACCAAAAAATAGTTCCATTAGCACATACAGCTCCGGGGAGAAATTGTGTATGCCGTAAATCCCCCATTTCTAGTTCCTTCCATGAACCTGTGCTTAATGAATATACTTGCACACAGTAAAGCCTGCTGCGATACAAGTGTTGAGCTTCCTTCTTGTTAAGCAACGATGGGTGATAAAATCTCACTATCTTGTAATCATTAACAACGCTACTGAACCCAAATCCTACGGCGGAAACGTGATGATAATCATATATTGTTTGGGGTACCTTTCTTACCTCATTGGTCACTGGGTTCCACAGCAAAAGTGAAATAGGAAACCTTCCTTGATCAGTATCGAGTTCCACGCAAAGCAAGCCATTGCAAGAACCAATGATTCTCCAACCACGTCCGAAGGAATCGATAAAGAGTGTGCTCAGAACTTCAACAGTTTCCATCTGATGATTAAGCAACCGTAAGGACAGACGCCTGTAGTTGTAATCGTATGCATGGATGAGAAGAAAAGGGTTTTCCTGAGCAGAGTGGCGGGCATGCTCAGCAATGAAAGATGGGGTTTTGAAGAGACTTTTCCATGCTTTGCACACAGACTGAAATCGAACAATGGATTTGACAGGAAGCCTTTTGAGAATGTTGGTGATAATATCGAACGGCAAAAAGGATTTTTCGCCGCCAAGTGCCATCTGCTCGTCGGAGGGAATTAGGGATTCGAAATTCGCATTCATGGGCAGGGAGAGAAGTAGAGCGAAGGAGTGAAGGAGATAACGGCGTTTTGCAATCTCAGAAGTTGGAACGGCCATAAAGAACAATTAAATTAAATTAAATTGAGTGTTTTATTTTTTTAGTGTTTTTATCCACTAATTGAATGTGAGTGGTTTTTGACGGCTGCTTATTGGAGAATTAAATGCCTGGCGTGGGGGTAATAATGGCCCTACAGAAAATGAGAATTCAAAGGCAATGGACACGTGTCGAAGTTTATCTGATCCTGGGGCTCTAGGCTCGAGCTAGTCCAGTCCCTTCACAAAAACGGGGAGCCGCTGCTTATGAAAAATGGACGGTTGTGATGGAAATTGATTGGACACGTGTAAGAACCGCAGAGCACAAGTCATCATCGTCATCCTCAAATGGAAATGCTCTCGCCGTTTCGTGCCTTTCTTCTTACGGAAATCCCATTGCCAATTTTTCCATTTCCCTCTTCTTCTTCTTCGTTGTTTTCTTCTATCCAAATTCCTATCTGCAATTTCCAAGACGATATGCCTTCCTTTGCAATGGTTCCTTCTTCTTCCCACCTATGGCTCCCCCGAAAGCCCCCCAAGCTTATTCACCGTCCAGTTCGCGCTTTTTCTTCCCCCTCCTCCTCAGTTTCTTCCGTTTCGTTCGATTTGAAGTCCTACTGGACTTCTCTCATGTCTCAGATCAATCTCAAGCTTGACGAAGCTATTCCCGTCAACTTCCCTCCTCAGATCTATGAAGCTATGAGGTACTCTGTCCTTGCTAAAGGTGCTAAGCGCTCCGCTCCTGTCATGTGCATCGCCACCTGCGAACTCTTCGGCGCCCACCGCCGTGCCGCCTTTCCCACCGCCTGCGCCCTCGAAATGGTCCTCTTCTTTACCTTTTCTATTTGCATTATAATTTTACGAATCAGACCTATATATCCTTCGTTCGTTTACGCTTCTTATCTAACAGTTACTGCAATTGCTTGTTCTGGGCGCAAAAGAAATAACATTCGTGTGGTTTGATTATTCCTTTGATTGTTGCTCCAATACCTGTTTCTTACTCCTTCTTTTCTAGTTGCATCTGCTTATAAAAGAAAAGGAATTTTCACCTAAAATGACACTGGTAAAAGACCTCGAACAAAAGAATCTTTGATTATTACGATATATTATCATTTCATTGTTATGAAAAGTAAGTTTGACTTAATTTTTATAGCGAAAGTCGGTTCTGTAAAACTTAATTTTTGTAACTGCAGTTTGGCGTAATTCTTACGCATGAAAGTCTGAGTTAGAATGGATGGTTTATTTCTGACAGGTTCATGCAGCTTCATTGATCCATGATGACTTACCCTGCATGGATGACTCGGCCTTTCGTCGAGGCCAGCCCTCCAACCACACCGTCCATGGTGTTGACATGGCCATTCTCGCGGGTGATGCTCTGTTTCCACTGGGATTTCGTCACATTGTTTCCCACACTCCCTCTGACCTTGTGCCTGAGCCCCAGCTCCTCCGCGTGATTGCCGAGATCGCCCGTTCTGTAGGCTCCACCGGCATGGCTGCTGGGCAGTTCCTCGACCTTGAAGGTGGGCCTAGTGAAGTTGGATTCATCCAAGAGAAGAAGTATGGTGAAATGGGGGAGTGTTCTGCAGTATGTGGAGGACTTATTGCTGGTGCTGAAGACGATGACATTGAGAGATTGAGGAGCTATGGGAGAGCTGTGGGAGTATTGTACGCAATTGTAAATGATATTTTGAGAACAAAAACAAAATCCGAAAAGGAAAGTGAGACAAAAAACAGAGGGAAGAGTTATGTGGAGATTTATGGAATAGACAAAGCAGTTGAGTTAGCTGAGGAGCTTAAAGCAAAAGCCAAGGCAGAATTAGATGGGTTTCATCAGAAGTACCAGGAACGAGTGTTTCCTCTGTATGGTTTTCTGGATTATGCTATGAATAGAAATTTCAGTGTTGTGGATGCCAGTGCATAATAGATTGGTTCTTGGAATTTGATTTTGTATTCATATGATGGATCTGCATGAACGAGGATCTTCTATTTTTCTTTTGTGCCGTATGGAGAGAACCTCATGATTACAAAAGCAACTACATTGTTTGCTGACGAAAATCACCTGTGCAGAAGCAGCTTCCGAGTCAAAGCAGTGCGGATACACTTAGTTTTCTGCTTGAAACCTTAATCAGGTTGACGAATTCTGATTTTATGTATCGATTATTTATTCTCATAATATTCTCATCAAGAGTGTTCGGATTCATGGTATTGAAGTACGGTCTTAATCTTTACTGATTATTTTTATGTTAAGGTAAACAGGTTAGTCTATACAGAGATCTCAAGTTGTGACATTGTCCTGAGATTTTAAGTAATACTATATCAATCTTTATAGTTGGCACTAAACTCTCGTTGTTAAGTGCCGTCTAAAGATACCATAGTCTTCTGATGCCAATAGTTCAGGTTACTCTATACTCATGTTGCTGGAAATTTTGTCGAAGGCTATACTTTCGTTTTCTGCACTCGTTGCGGTCGACGAGGAAAAGTGTTTGGGTTTCTCATACTCCATTTGTGACTTTTGTGGAGTTAAAGTTGTTGGGAAGACCTTATACTTGTGATACTTTTGGATCTTGACGTAATTATGCTACGGGTTTTTCTTTTTTTAGCTAAAGCATAAAACATAGATATCCTCCCTCATAGAGACAATCTTATTAAAAATACTGTCAGGTACTAAATGTGAATACTTCTATCAGCGGAGATTCAAATCTTTATTTGTTACGCTGTGAGGGATTAATTTTTTGTGCTAGACTCAGTCCTGTTACTAATTATGCTATGAGTTGCAATGGAAGTTCATGGGAAAATGAGCTGACTCTGGGCTAGGAAGACGGCCCAGTTGGCCAGTTCGGTCCAAACGAGATGGCCCATCATGAGTCACCATTACTGAATTCACTCAACTTTTCTGCAGAAAAAATTTAAGGGTTAGCATTAACAACCTGATGTGCTACAAGTAGGAGCTGCAAACTCCTAGGTCCTAATTATACAATCTTATGTCATTAAGCTGATAACAATATGTCAATATCCATGAATAAGAAAGGATGGGAGGGAACAAAATTAAAATTAACTTAGAAAAGACACAATGGACAAGTGAGAAAAATATCATTTTCTCTTGTTTTATTTTGTGTCCTTCAATTAAATACTTTACATAACTTAAGAAAGTTAAAATTAGTTTTTTTAAAAAAATCTTAAAATCTCAAAATTGTTCTTGATAAAAATCACTAATTAAAGAAACTTGATTAATTAGTTAGAAAATTTTGCGGTTGGATAGAAATACTAAGCAAAAAGGGTAATGTTTCAAACAAGATATGTCATATTATCAAATATATTGGAGGCTGTTATAATGAAAACTTGATGGATGAAAGAAGTTAGAGCTTTGTATAAGGCTAGGGAACATGAAAAAAAAAAAGGAAAAAAAATATGCTTATACTCCTCCGGTTCTTAATATAGGACCCAATTGTTGAGTTAGTTTTGATCCTAAATATAAGACACATTTCTCATATTTATCAATTTTCTCTAAATTACCCATATGGATATTCTCTCAACCATAATCAAGTAGAAATGGAAGAAGGGTATTAAGAAAAATGATTATGGTATTTTAAAAAAGATATATCGCATTTCTTATAAGTAACTAACTTACCTGACTTCCTTAATCTAATCAAATTAGTTAAACGGGTCTTATATTAAGAACTGGAAGAGTATATATTATTTATATAGGTAACCATGAGATACTTTCTACCAGGGAAAATGTTTCTTTCCTCCATCATTTCTTTCCCTCCAAACAAAGAGGTCAAAATTATGAGATTTTCAATTTTTTTTAAGGATTAAATTCTATTTCAAGAATGGGATAGTTAGAAAATTATGTTTATTTAACATTGTAATCCTAATAAACTAAAAACTTCTAAAATTTTAAAATAAAAAATTGAAATCTTCAAAATAGATTGAGGACAATTGACATTGGATGTGAATTTGCTCATGGTCTTGGAATCCAATCTCTATTCACACAAATCTATGCGCAACTTGTTAAGAGAACAAATTGCAAATCACAAGCATCTGATATTACTAAACTTGTTAAAAGAACGAGGCGTCCAACTTAGTAATCACTTTTAATTATTGGAAGGAATCAAATCATACTAATAAGAGTTAGTCCCGTTAATAAGGAGTCAGTTTATAACTTATAAAATTAGGAATTTGAATCCCACTACCGATGTAAGGATTTTGTTGGTGAGTGATCTGTAAATACTTTTATAAGTACTTTCTCAGCCCGAAGGCATGTCCTGAGGAGCTCTTAAGACCCAACTCATTTAAAAAAATTTTCAACAAAAAAAGGATCAGGTGAGATCATGCCAAAAAATTCCTGAAGAATTGTCGTGAGAAACAAGTTGTGAAAGAAATTATATCGAATTACCTACGTCCGAGAAAATAAACAGCCTGTTTTGTTTACCAAATCAGGAAGAATGCAATGGAATTTAATGCAATATGATGTAATAACGATGACATGGGTTGGTTTGGTATGTAATTAGAGAACTACGATGTGTAGACATACGAACATTTGGTTTCTATTAACAGCCTCCTTACATAAATTTGTTTGAACAATTCGATTGCGAGAAAGATACTCCTTAGGTTGAAAATTGAAAACTTGCAGTGTAAATAATATCTTCGATTACTACTGATTTTTTTTTCCTCAAAAAAATTGTATTCTTAAATTTTAACAACTCACACGTTACGGTTTATATGAAGTCACTGAATTTGGATTGAAAATTGTGATTAGTTTGTATGAAGCATTGTTGGATGGTTTTGCGATGAGTTTGGTAATTTGTTCCATACACAAAATTTAAGAACGTACTCTTTAATATAATAATTAAATAACTAATTTATGAATATTAAGAAAATTAATTAACTTACTTATTTATAATAAGTAAATGTTGTATTTCCTAAAATAACTATATTAATCATGTCTATTAAAACTATTCTTTTATATGAATTTCTTAACATGAACAATTAATATAAGAATTACTAGAGGGTAAAGTAGATAAATATTAAAAAAAACAGATTGATCTCTTATATTTATAATTAAATTAAATTTTTAATTAACTGTTATTAAGGGGCTAGCAACAGTATATGATAATTTCTACCATCCATCTTATTCCGAGTTGTTAGTACACTAATTGATTGTTACAATTGTTATTATTATCCTCGTTGTAGGCGTTAATGCGTTAAAAAAAAAAAAAAGGAGTTATCACTGCTGGCTCTTCTTTCTGAGTCACTGACAATAAATTCGGGTTAAAGATTGAGGTAATGAATGGAAAGATCCTGGCTTGACCAGTAATATTTCATATTGTAAAAGAATTTGAGAAGCCAATAAACTCCTCTATATATCAAAAGCATTTTTTCATAAATCGAGATAAACTTTTCTATATATTTACTTCGTATGCCGTAAAAATACTTCTGAAACTGTAGTTTTGATCTTACCCAAGCACTCCCTAAATTTTACTATCAATAATTTGTGGATATTGGGATTTGAAATAAATTTAATTTTAAGAATTGCAATTAAGTCTAAAGAAAGAAATATAATTGTTATAAAATTTCAATAACAACTAAACAACTTGTAATTACGAGTTTCAGAATAGGAAATAAAAACTCTTCACTTGTTATTAGAACTTTTGAATAGTTATTTCCTTTTCGTCGATTCTATTATAATTCTCCTTTAATTTTATATTTTTATACAATACCATGTAATGTTTTGCTATTAACTTAACAAATATGTAATTTAATTAAAAATTTTATAAATTCAATTACAAAATTGATATGACTATTACTATATTTGTTTGGCATCAAATGTATGTCCATTGTATGATCTTTTAGAAGTCACACATTTAAGATGACGAAGATTAAAAAAAGAAAATCACACATTTAAGCCGGAAAAAAATCATACATTTATGTATTTTGAATGGAGCTTATAAGTTTGACTTTTAAATTAATATAAAACACTTGAATCGATCCATAATTTAATTTCAGTAGAAACAGTTACTAATAATTAATCAAATAATCATTAAGTTTTGTATACTGCTTCTGATTCTTAATATAAGAGTTTATTTGATTTTTATTTTGGTTTTAAATACAAGACCCCAATATAATTTGCCTCTTATATTTATTCATTTTTCAGAAGGTGATCCTTATAATAATAATAATTCCAGCTAATATATTTGATTAGTAAGGATATTTTAGAAAAGACTTATAAATAACTAATTTAACTAGTTTTTTAATTTATTTAATTTAATCAACTAACTCTTATATGAAGAATTGGAAGCAGTGTAACAATACTTTTATCTTATAAAATTAGATTAAGATGTGCTGTTGGCAAAAAATAAAGAATAAAATGCATGCTGTAAAATCATTGCTTGCTTTGTGTTTTATATTATTATGCTTTTATTTGATTGATTTTATTCATTTTTCAGTTCAGACAAAAAAAAAAAGGAGAAAAAAGAAAAGAAAAGGAACTCTGGAACGCGAGAGAAACCCTTCTTGAAGGTCCGGGAGACTGACACTGAAACAAATACCATAGAGAAACCCTAGACCCCTCTGTCCTGCTCCCCCGATCAACGCCATTGATTTTTCTGGTTCTTGTTTCGTTCACTTCTCTATTGCATTGTAGGTTTATGTCTTTTCTGGATCTGTTTCGAGTAGTTATTATCGTTTGCTTCTTCACTTTCGAGTTTTATGTAATGTTTTTATCACTCTCCTTGTAGAAATCAGAAATGGCAGTTGCTGCACAAACACTTGATATTTCCGGAGAGCGCCAATCTGGACAAGACGTTCGGACCCAAAATGGTACCTTCCTTCCAACTTCCACTTTATTAAAGAAGCTTCTTTTTTCCATTCCATATGTCTACTCCAAAAATGTGGCTGTTTTGGTGCATGATTCCAGAATTGATATTAAGTCATAGTTCACACATAATTGCATACTGGGGTCTAATTTGCGTAAATGCGCTTTGAATGTTGGGTTACAGTGGTGGCTTGCCAAGCAGTTGCCAACATTGTGAAATCTTCGCTGGGGCCTGTTGGCCTCGACAAGGTACGGTTGTCTATTATCTTGGTGTTGTTTGCTTCTTGATACAGTCATAATACGCATTATTTTATTCGTTCGTATAATCTCATTCGCGTCCTTTTTTCCTTTCTTCTTACAAGTTTTTCTGGGTTAGTTGAGGTATTATCCATTGGCGTGGCTTTGTTGTAACTCCTGCTCCTTTGTTTTAGATGTTAACAAGTTCATGAATGATGTAATATGCGATCTTACTACTGCACATTTTTGTTGTTTGTTTATCTCAGATGCTTGTTGATGACATTGGTGACGTGACCATTACTAATGATGGTGCTACTATACTTAAAATGTTGGAAGTAGAGCACCCTGCA